ATGAGTCTAAAACTGATATTCTCCCATGTAAATTATCACTCAATTAAAAAATTATGTTAAATTTTCTTTTGCTGAATTATTAAATCAAGACAATCTGCATATTGGTGATAATAACAAAGACCCACATTAAAAACTATTTTGTGTAATAAATCTTAATGAAAGATTCCTATGTTGTTGTTAAGTGCTGTTGAGTCAGTTCTGACCTACAGGGACCCTGTAAAGAGTTTTTAAGGAGTGGCTGGTGAATTTGAACCACCGACCTTGAGGGCCAAATCAACCTTGCAGTCAAGTGCTTATCCTACAGCGCCACACCCAAATTCCTATAGTTATGTTAGAAACCATTCATCAACCCAGCAAAATGACAATTAACCCTGGTGTTCTGGTGTGGCTCCTTAGAAACGCCATATAGGGTTGTTATGAGTTGGAACTGACTCAATGGAATTGCACAACAACAATAATAAATCAGGCTATCAGTACTTGTAAATATGTATAATAGGTCACTAGAGTAAAAATTTTACAAGTAAATCTAAATCAAGTACAATATGGAGTGATGATGATCAGGAAAGGATAAAAGATTACACAAATACAGTGTTCAAATTTAGGTCAATTTTTGGACACTGAAAATTTAAATGAAAAAAATCACCACCACAGTAAGTTAAAAACAAACAGCTTTCATCACAAGGTTTAAGAAATGTAAGCATAAATATGTGATCGCTTACTAAACAACAGGGATATGAAAATAAGTATGTTTAAGGCTTTACTTACCAGGTTCTCCCCCAGTCTTGTCCAAAAAGTTTCTCGGTCTTAGAGAAGGAACTGTTGGAAAGAGATAAGCTGTTCTCCAGCTTTTATAATGAATATAACTTTCTACCACCACCTTCATCCTGTCGAAACTACTTAAACGAAGATAATATTTTACCTACCAAAAAAGCAAAAGGAAACAAACTAAATATAAATAAGTAAAAATCATAAATCGAAAACAAGATACAATTAAAGTGCAAATGGGAATTATGAAGTTTTTACATATAATTCTCTTACCTTAATCGGCAAGGGATCGTAGCTATTTCTGAAGTTGTGATCAAAAATAATAGCAGCCAGCATTCTTTCAGAGTTATTCTTATAGTCAACATACTCTTCAAAATCTCTTTCTGAAGAAAAACCTTGAACTGTAGAGAAAAATCTGAGTTGGTCACACAAAGGGTACAATCTCAGAAAGCACTCCTATCTGTAAGATGATCGACCACTTCCATGAATGAAAGGCCATCAATAAAAACGTCAAAATACTGTTATTCAAACAATGTCATAGCAAACTACCTACTGGATATTTGCAGTACACATCAATTTCAGGAGTCTACCACAAATTTGGAAGCCTGGTATGGTGCTGTGGGCTAATGAGCTGGACTGCAAAATAGGTTTAAGCCACAAGGTTGGTGGTTCAAGCTCACCTGCTGCTGGATGGAACTGACTCGGTAGGAGTTAACACAACAACACAGTTTAAAATAATCCTGGTTATAATAGCTGCATATTAAAAGTAATCACATGAAGGATGAGGAATGCTTCATACTGTTTTGAAATGTCGAGCATGAAGGAGAATAAAAACAGAACAGATGTGTGCAATCTACTCAGTGTCCTGCAACATGGGAAAAGTGTCTCAATAAAAGATACTGAAAGTTGGGTTTTCAATATTTAAGGTGCTCCATCAACAAACTTGGAATCCTGGTGTGGCACTGTGGGTTAATGCGCCAGACTACAAAACCGTTTGAACC